AATTGCGAGCAGTGAGGGACGAGAAGGATGAAACAAGTTTTGTTTTAGAATGACTGTTGGAAGCTACTGTAGTGTACAGAAACATTTACGGGACTTCAATTTATTCTTAATGGCCAGGTATCGTTAAAGGATAAATGCTGTGAACTTAGAAGCGTCTTTCGCAGCAAAATGAGATAAAACGTCAGGAAAGAAGTCAGTTTGCTGAAATGGGACGACGGGCAACAGATTGGCATCATTTAAGATAACATCAATTAGCCATTAAGATTCGGGACTATACTTGAGTACTGTTCCATCGCTTTCAAAAACAGCGTAAAGTTTTTCCCCCATTGGCAGCTTCCACTTTTTAAGGTACTAAAAAAAAGGAAACAATAACCATCTGCGGCGAAACAGCAGTAAAATTGTTTTCAGTTAAATGATTTTATTTTTTAAAATCTGTCTTAGACAAAGAAATAAAGCTGGTTTTTTAGGTGATGAAAGAACCGGAAAAAAGTGCAATTAATCTTTGATTTTAAATAAAAGTCAATTTATTTTCTCTTCTCCTCTGTTAGTTGTGCGGTTTGATAAATGTCTTTCTCAAAAGCGCTTATTTCACGTCAGAATCAGAAGAATGCCTAGTTACATGGTAATCCGATTTTTTGTTATTTTTTTTACTCAAATAAATCTTAAATTTTTTGATTACTGAGAAACAGAGTAAATAATTTACTGAAAAATCTAGAAATATTGAAAATTACAAAAAATATACCAAAGCTTTGGAAGGGCAACTTTGTTATCTGCTTTTTTTAATGCGATGACAAGAAAGTGAGAGGCAAAAGAAGAGGAAATGAATATGTCTTTATACTTATCTAACATTCAACTTTTGAGAGCAGAAGAAATAGTGGAGGGGTGAAAAAAGCAATGTACAAAATTTATATCCCAACTTTATCATAATTTATAATTGTTATTGATGATGTTATTGATGGTGTTGCTTTTTTCTTGCAGATGCAAGGACCGTCGCCAGGTTAGCATAGTTTAAGAAAAATGTTGAGCAGTACCGGACGCAAATGACAGCATTATAATATCATCAATGTCGTCATTGATATCTAAAAAACAAATCTCCAATGGTCGTTAAAACTGAATGATGGTGCAATAGCGATGAGCGGTTCAAAAATTGATCTCTGCATAAAATTATCTTCAATTATTCCAGTGCAGCAAACTTATGCTAATAGTGGGAACTCTTGTTATTTGGGGTGATGGAGGGGGGTTTAGGGTCTTTTATGGAGGAAAAGCATGGAGCCATTGAAAGCTGATGGAATTGGAAAGAACATTTCTGGTAAAACTTTAAGAAATTCTGAAAAAAATTTATCTGTTTTGAACACCCGTCCGTTACATTTTTGATCTGTTTTCCTGTTTGGTATCAACTGTGTAGAGTGTAACTGTCAGCGTCTACAAACTGTTTTTCACTCTTTTCCTGGCCAACTGTACTGAAAGTTTTATATTCTTGTAAAAACTTCCTACTCATTTATTTTTTGCAATTAGGTGAGAACAGCAAGAAAATTTGTTACCTTGGTAATCTTTAATTTTCCTTCTTGTTCAGTAAAATCAGCTTAGTTTTCTTCGCAATTTTTGATTTTTTACATATAATTTTAAATAGTTAATGATATAAGTGACATAAATGATACAAATGACAAGAATAACTTTGAAGTGATATAGCTATAGTAGTTTAAGTAACTGAAAACATATATGTTTAAGTAACTGAAAACAAACTTTTTGCCTACTGTCTTAACGAGGTGGTTACGCGGTACGAAATCTGCAGTTCTACGTTTTTGCTGCTCTACAATTCTTTAATACTTCGACAAATGACAACGAAGGAAAAGGCAGAAGTTTGTTGTTGTCGTTGTTGTTGTTACTATTATTCGCTGACTGTTTTGTTGACAGCATTAACAGCTGTTGCAGTAGCGGTGGTAACAGCGACCAAGAAAACTGTACTTCTCTAGCAGTTACAGAATCATCGTCAGTCCGTCATCAATACGTTTTGTCGTCGTAGTTACACGTTTGAAGCGGTACCAAAACATGTGTTCAATTTTGATTTCTTTTCCCCCTTTCTTTCAATTCCTTTTTTTTTTTTT